AGCAGTCCCGCGTGGCTTTCTCAGGCTGTCTTCCTCAGGTAATTTCCCAGGTGAGGCCCAATGGCTCCTGCACACCTGGGACCTCACTGACAGGGCCTGGGCCAGCGGCGGTCTCCATGGAGGCGCCCGGCAGATGCCATGGGCCCTTGGGGGTACAATCAGCGCACACACCCCAAAGCCTAGAGGCTGCTTGGCCTCTGACCTGGCTCCTCCTGCTGGTCTTGGGTCCCTGCAGGAGAGGCCTCTCCCCTCAGCAAGCTGAGCACCTGAGCCCAGCTGGTTTTGTGCACCGCTGTCTTCACTGTTGTCTCCTTTTATCTTTCCTTGTTTTAAGCATCTTACATATCAAGTCAGTCCTCACAGCCCTCAGTGTACAGGGGCCAAACTGAGGCACAGAGCCGGTGCAGGCGGGCCTGGGAGCTGCATCCCACGAGCTCTGAGCACCAGCCTCCACCACCAGACTCTTCCACCTGCTGCCCTCCTGACCACAGCAGGGGCGCTGGAATCAAGGCCGCTCTGTGTTCTCAGGGCTCTTTTCCTGAACCTGGCCGGTGTCTGGGTGCAGAGACAAGGATAGCGCTGACAATGGCACTGCAAATTTTGAGCACAGAACAGGCCGGCCAAGTGAGGGGCTGCTGCCTTCCTGCCTCCCTCCACCTTCCCGCTCCAGAGGAGAGGCCGCAGCCTGAGGGAAGCCGAGAGCCCTGCTGGGGGGAGGCTTTGCAAGATTGCCAGAGGGAACCCTGCTATTGCATGAAGCTGCCAGGCTTTCCACAGGGGAGGGGAGTGCAAAGCGGTGGCGGAGGAGGAGGGCACAGTGGCCTGGTGGGGCAGGTGGAGCACCTGAAAGCCCGCTTCTGACCAGCTGGGGAAGCCCGGAACCTGCCAAGTGTTAAGTGACTATGGTGTTGATATGAAAAGAAAATTCTAGGGAGTCTGAAGTTCGAGGGAAGAAGATAAGGGTTCTGAGGATTCACTCCCTGGCTCAGCAAAAAAGCCACACCAGACTGTAAGCATGCCCTGGACAACCTGGATGTAACAAGAGTCTCCATTCCCTGGCCATGGTCTTGCCAAGCCACCCTTGCTGAGCCTGGCCATCCATCTGATTTCGCAACAGCCCCTCTGGCAGGTAGTACTTAACACAAACCCATTTCACAGGGAAGCAAACTGAGGCGCAGAGAGGCGGTGCCACCTGCTCCAAGTCACAGAGCTCACGAGCGGTGAAGTCAGAATTCCAACCAGGTCTGTTCCCAGAGCCTGGCTCAGACCACCCCTCTCATGACACAGACTTTGAGAAAAGACCCTCAGAACTCTCTCCATGCCCAGAACAAGTGTCCCTTGAAGCCCACAGCCAGTAGATGGCAGCCCACTTCGCTAGGCCAGCCACCCTCCCACACTCAGCAGCGGCTATCCACGGCCCTGCCTCTGGACCCCCAGAGCACAGAGAAACGGACAGCGCCCACCCCAGGAGCTCTCCATCCGTCAGACCCAAGGGCAGGGCCCTGGGCTCGGGAGCAGAAACCAAGGCGGGGTAGAGTCTTCGTGGGCTGGTACGGCCTGAAGGGCAGGAAGGACATCCGACCGGGGATGTGAAGGCCAAGCGAGAGGGAGGGCCTCACACAGTGGACGGCCGTGCCGCTCTGCCCTAGAGTGGCTTGAAGGAGACCTGGTGTGACCAGGGAACTGTCCTTGGGTTGAGGGCCGCCAGGAGACAGGACCACTTTGTGGGAGAGTCTGCTAACCGAGGACAACAGGCTTTGGGGCTGTTTTAAAGTGGGCTGACTTCCACCAAGAAAACCGTGTTTTCTCCTCTCAGTCCCATTGGGTAAGCAGCCCCATCTCCCTGGGTACATGGTACACTTACTGCCACTTTTGGGACAAACAGACCACTCTGTCCCAACCAGCCCCTCGGCTCCCGTCAGAGCCCTGGCGAGGCTCTGTGGACAGGATCAGGCTTCTTAGCCTGTGCAGATGCAGCTCTTGCTGAAGTCTACCTGCGTAGTGTGATAGTGGCCTCAGGGCCACTCAGAAGGACTCCAAATGTAGAGTCAAGGAATTTAGCCACAAGCACCATACCCTGGCCTCCACCTCCCAGCCGAAGTCCCTCAGAAGAACCCATCACCTGGAACTGCCTGAGGACCAGGGCTGCGAGGCAACAACAGCCAGTGCAGCCGTCATGACCTCCAGGTAAGAAGAGCCTCTGAACAGCAGGGGACTGCGGTGAGTTCAAGGTCTTGGCCCACCCATGTGCAGCACGAGCTGCGGGGCTCTGCACACCTCCAGGGCCTGTGAAAGGGTCTCTGGGGGAAGGAAGTGGGGTGTCCGGCAGCCACACATGTGGGCAAGGGGCACAGACTAGAGGGGCAGGGCTCGGGGTCGGGGAGGCTCTGAGATGGGCGAGGGGCAGGGGAAGTGCCTGCGACCTGGGATGTGACGGACCCAGGGACGCTGAGCTCAGAGAGGAGAAAGGAGGAGAGGGTGATGGGGGAGCTCCAGGGACCAGCGGCTGTGGGCTGGGAGTCTGGGCCGGCTGTGGGAGACTCTGGGGAGAGGTCACAGTGCAGGGAAGACCCTTGGCCCACAGGGGGGTTTGCCCAGTTCAAAGAACAAAGGGGAACGTATGGTGGACGTTTGTGAGTCCCTGTGTCCAGTGAACTGATAAAATGGGTGGGGGAGGGGTGTGTGTGTCTGGACCGGACAGGGCTCCATGTCTGGGGGCTGACAAGGGTTGAGGGAACCCTGACCCTGTATTCAGGGGTGGCAGGATTAAGACGACCATAACCCTTAAGTCTGGGGATCAATAAGGCCCAAGGAAACCCTAACATCCATGTAAAGGGAACTGACAGATCCCAGAAGACCCTTGACTCTGACACCTTAGGCTGGGGAAGGGCCCAGGCAAGACTCCCTTCTGGGTTTGGTAAGACCCAGGACACCCTAAGTCTCTGTCCCTCACTGACAGGGCCCAGGACACCCCAACATGTGTCTGGGGCTCACAGAGGATCAGGGTCACCTCCTGATCTCCAAGTCCTATGCTGATAGGTCACTCCAGCCCTGTATCACGGGCTGATCCTGGTTTTCCGTAGGTCACCTCAGCCCCATGTTATGCACTGAGCCAGCCCACGGCCACCTCGCCGTTCTGCCCACTGAGCTGATGGCCCCACGTCACTCCGACCCTATGTCCTGGGCTGCCAGGCCCCTAGGCCACCTCAACCTCTGCCAGGGCCACTCCACTGACCCGGAGCCCAGTGACCCCAACCCTGAACCCTGGGTGACTGCCAGGTGACCCCGACCCCCGCGCTGACCCAGCCTCGGGCCACTCCGCCGCCCCCAGACTCCAGGTGACCTGGGTCGCACTCACCTTTGGCGCTGCCCGTCCAGGCCCAGGCCGAGGCCGAGGCCCAAGCCGGTGGGCGCGGGAGCGGGGCTGAGCAGGCTCTGGGGCGCTGAGGTCCTGCCTCCGGGTCCAGGCAGGGGCAGGCCGGCGGGGGGCGCGGGAGGCGGCGGCGTCGATTGGCCGGGGCGCGCCCGCATGCAAATATATCGCCATCGCGCCCGTCCATTGGCCAGCGCGGGGGCGTGGGGGGGCCGCTCCCCTGGGTCCTAGAGGCTGTTCTCATGGTGCCCTGGGGAGCCAGGACCCGCGAGTCAGTCTGCGTCTGGGCCCGCGAGGCCTGACTCGGGGCGAGTGGCGGCGTCGACGCGTGTTCGAGTCCCCGGCTCGGAAGTCGCGGCCCCGGGACTCCAGAGCCCTATTCCTTTTGCTGGGCTGCGGCATTCGTGGTCAGCCTCCGTCGAGCCTGTCTTTAGGCTCCACTTCCCCTCTCAGGGTGTGTGTCTTTGCGGGGGGTGGGGCTGAGGTGCAGGACTGGAGCTGTGGCAACCGGCATCAGAGGTCTGGGCGGCCCCTGGAGGAGCTCCAAGAATGACCGTCGATGCCACCTGGTCTCCAGCGACTGAAGACCGTGGGCCGGAGGGGAGAAGGCACCTGCCTGGGGTGGCAGGCAGGGTGATGCTGGAGCTTGAGCCCCAGGCAGAGTCCTGCACTTCCGTCCCTCAGCAGCAAAATGACCTTGAGTCTGCGGGGTACCAGGCCTTCTGTTCCCGGCCCAGACTCCAGAGCCAATGGCTTCATGCTCAGGAGCCCACCTGCGTCTTGCAGGACAGGGTTGTATAGCCACCTGTATGCCACTGGCCTGCTCTGTCCAGCTTTCTGCCTGTAGGTTTACCCATCCTTAAAGTGGGGACAGCGACTGCGACCTCAGGGTATTGTCAGGGCTGAACGGCACTGCGCTGGGTCTACCTGGAGGCTGGAAACAAGGCACTCTCCATGAAATTTGCCACACAGCTCTGTGAATGCTCCCCACGCAGCACACAAATTTCTGTTAGCGAGGAGAAGCTGGGGTCGACAATGATGAGTCAGGGCCCTGCTGGCCCGCTGTTCTAGTAGGAGGGCCCTGGCAGGTGGAGGGGGTGGGACCCACAAGCTGGTGGCTAATAGTTACACTGATGTCAGATGAGGAAGATAAAGGGGGATGGGAGGATGGAGGGCTGTCATCTGGTTGTTGGGCCTCAGCTCCAAAACCATGCTATCTACTGCTGGATAATGGGGCTGGGCTCTGGGGTGGTCTCTCTTCTGCTGGCGGGCACCATATTAAGCTTTGAGGTTGCTGCAGAGATAGCGGGGCGGGGGGGTGGGGTGGGGCAGAACACGGTCTTCCTGGTTCTGTGCGGGGCGGTCTCCTGGATGAGCTGCCTTGTGGTTGTGCAGAGGGCTGACGGTTCAGTGGCGGGTGTGGGGCCAGGGACACGGAGGTGTCAGTGAGGAGGGGGTCTGCGTGGTGCCTGGTGCACATTCTGTTCCTGAAGCCCTCGGCAGAGGCTCAGCACACAGGGCTGGTTTGGATCCTGCCCTTCAGACTCCCCACCCCTGGACACTCAAGAGTCACCCATCCGGGGAAGGTGGAGGCCTGGCTGAACCCAAACCCTGCCAGCTGCACACGTCATCCTTCCTTACACTTTATTCTCCCCGTGCCCTGGGACACTTTCTCTGCAGAGGCGCTGCACTGCTGCCGGCCGGCCTTCTTAGCCCTCACCAGGCGGCACACTTGTGGGACCCCTCAAGGGGGCGCCCGAGACCACTGCTTGGCGCTCGACACCCCATCTGGAGTGGGTAGCGAGGCATGCAGTCCCTGGGTCCAGGGTAGTGGTCGAGTCTGCGTTGGTGGGAGGAGGGGAACTGCCCGGGAGGGCCTGCCCGTGCAAAGCAGGGCTGGGGGCGGGGCTTGGCTGGAGCTTGAGCCATGCCGGTCTCCCAGGACCCTGCTCCCCACAGGGGAGCAGATGCTGGGGTGAGAGTGGTGGGTAAGATCATTTCCAAGATGGAGGGGTTCAAAAGACCAGTCATCTTGGCCTTCACAACCCCATGGATGTGGCAGGACCCAGTCCACTACCCCACTTCTGGGGCCGTCTGCTTGGCTGGTGGTGGGGGCTGTCCTGGCTGCGGGCAATCAATCGGTGGGGTGCATGACTGGGCAGGCTGGGATGCCCAGGTCTTTTCCCAGGTGCTGGTGCTGGGTGAGCGACTCCTGGCTCCCTGGTTCCTCCTTTCTCAGGTCAGCTTCTTGGAGGCTGGGGGAAGTGGACCAACATTAAGCTGGGAGGCATGGTAGTAACCTTGTGTGTCCTCTCTTGCGGGGACACTGGGCTTTTGCCCAGGAACTTGTGGGCAGTTTCTGGGAACACAGGAGCCCACACTGGCAGTCGACCTGCTCCTGATGACAGGGGATGCTGGACAGGGCGACCTGATTGGAGGGAAGCCTTGGGAATTTGGTAGAAAGTGTGTGACCCTGGAATCCGCCTGGCCCTGGGGCCTCCCCTGCTGCCTTGCAGAGGGTCTGGGGCATTTGGATAAGCTGAACTCACTGGGAAATGTTCTCCGAACACCTGGGATGTTGGCAGGTGCTTCCATGGGCCTGCCTCTGGGGTCACAGAGAAGGGACATGTGGTTCCTGGCACCCTTGCAGGTGAAACCTACACGATGCTGAGCTTCAGGTATGCCTCTGATGTGGAACCAGCTCTGGTTCTGGGTCAGATGGATCAGGTTGGCATCCTGACCCCGCGTACCACCTCTGTGACCTGGGGAAAGTTACCCCACCCTGAGCCCCCACTTTCCCATCTATGAGACAGTGATGGCTGATCCCCGGGCAGGCCCACGAGGCCCAAAGGCAGTAACGACTGGACGCTTCTTGAGCCTCTCTCTGTATGGGCACACAACACAAGGATGCTATTCTCACTTATCACCTGTGAGGTGCTGAGGGTATGGGTGCCATGGTCTGGGTGGGAGGCAAGGGGGTGGCTTGACTCCATGTGGACGGTGGGGGCAGATGCAGTGCACCCCTGTGGACCGTGCCTGCCAGGATGGCTTCCGAAAATTCCCAGCTGGCTGTGCTGTGAGGTCACACCAGCATGCTGGCCTCCTCCAGAGCTTGCCTGACAAACACAGGCTGCGGTCACCTTCCCGGCAACAATGGTGCATTGTGGCAGCTATGGCCCAGCCTGCAACATGGAGCTGCCTGAACAAACACCAGGCGGCGTGCAGTATCAGCTCAGGTGTTCAAAGGCTCTCGCGGGCGCCTGGAGACCTGGCCTGAGCTGCCACTGTGGCCAGAGCAGGAAGTGGGAGCCGTCCTTATACCCTCGACCTGGGTGGAGGGGGAGCCCACAGGCACCACCCTTGGTAAACAGGAGAGCAGCCCCCAGCCCCGCATCGAGAACAAACACACCCACGCCCGGGAGGCAGTACCCTCTGCTGGGTCTCCTCCTCAGAAGTGGACAAGGTGGTCCAGGCGAGCTTGCCCCCTCCCAGGTGGGGCTGTGAGAGGGGAGGGGTCTAGGACCACCAGGCCTGGGACTGCTTGTGGCCCAGAATGCCCTGTCTCCCCTGAAGATGACACGACTGTCCTTGCCTGTGTCCCACTACTGTCTCATATCAGCCATGGTATTGCCCCCTTTCCAGAGGGAGACAGGCTTGGGGTGAAGGAGCAAGCCCAGCGAGGAGGAAGTGGACTCGGTGTCTGCCCAGGCCTGACCCGGGTCCTCTTACAAGACTGCTCTGGGAGCAGCTCCAAGTAGCCAGAAGGGCTGGGGGCCTCGGTGCTACAACTGCCCCGCCCCCACCCAAAGCAAAGGGGCCTACCTTTGCTCCAGGGGTCAGACGCCCACTTCCTCTTCTGCGGGCCCCCTCCACACTCCTTGTTGCAGATGCACCCGGGTCCCTCCTCCGGCGAGCTCTGTGTGGCCTCCGCCCGGGTCCTCAGGCCCATCTGAGGGGTGGGGATGTGGTCGTGGTGAGGATCCCCCAAGCCTGGGGCAGCCAGGGTGCCACCACCCCTCCCCAGTGTACGGCTGTACTGACCTCACTGTCCGAGGTGTCTGGCTCGTCCAGCTCATCCGACTCCGGCTGTTGTCCTTGGGCTTTGCTGAGCTCTGCAGGACGCAGGGTGGGGTCAGGCCAGGATGGTGGCCTGGGCATCTAGTAGAAGCCTAGGTCCCTAACCTGCCAGGCTGGGATCAGTGGCAACACCTCTGAAGCTGGGGAAACTGAGGCACCGAGAGCCCGAGTAACCTGCCCTGGGGTGGAGTCCAAGCCCAAAGTATCCTGCACTCCTGCAATGACCCCACCCACTGGGGTGCCCCTGGCTTGGTTGCTGAGTGACAGGGAACTCATCACCTGCCCTGAAGCCCCAGTTGCTAGGAGGCCCTCCATTCACTTCCTGTGGTCAGAAACGTGCCCTCCCTGGGCCCCTCGCTCCACTCTGGGTCTGGAGGTGGGGAACCAAGTCTGAGACAAGTTTGTTGGGTCAGGCCCTCCCCGCTCACGGTGGTTCCACTTCCACTGTGGAGCACTTCCTATGTTCACATCCTCACCTGGGTGGCCATCTCCACAAGGCCTTGGTGGGTAGGGGGGCAGTTTAGGCCTCCCTCTGTCCTCCTCTCCTGGCCCACTTGGAGAGGGCAGGCTGAGGTGGGGCCCTGGGGCAGAGTAGGGGGCGTCCTGGTGAGAAGGAAGAGACTTGAGCTCATGTAAGGCAACTTCCTCCCCCCCACCGCCACCCGGCCTCGGGCACAGCCTGCGGGGGCCCTGGACAGGGCGGGGCTGGAAGGTCAGCTGACTCCCTGTGGCTTGTGACCTGGGCAGCAGGCTTTCCCTCGGGAACTGGCTGGTGGAGCAGAGAGGGCAGCCCGGGGCTTAGGTGCTCTGGGTGGGATACACAGAGCCCAGGAATGGGGCTTGGGCCCTCACCGGGGAAGGTGGATGCTCTTTTGCCTCTGGCTCTCTGGCTTCCTGGGTGCCATTGCTGACTCTCTGGGCTCCACACCGGGCAGGTGGTCCCACTCCCTGGGGTGGCTCAGGGCTGGGCGTGGGGACCCGTGGGGGGCTGAGTGACCCCGACTGGTTGGCAGGCTTGGGGGCGCTGGCCCGGCACCGACCGCGCTCTGAGAGGTCCAGGGGCTTGTCTGGGACATAGTCCTGTGTGGTTGTGCCCTCCTTCCCCTGGGGGCTGCCCGGGCCTGCAGGCTGTGGGTGCCTCCCTCTGGCCACCTCGCCCTCAGGACCCTCGGAGTCTGAGTCTGCTGGTGGGGAGGGTGGCATTCCTTTGGGCCCCCGAGGGCCCCTCAGCCGGGCACTGCCCACCCTGCCCTGTGCCCGCAGCTGCTGGGCCAGGAACATGTGCAGTGCGCCTTCCAGCTGTGGGTTCCGCATGCCCGCCAGGGCGCCCGGCAGGCCCAGCAGGCCCGAGGGCTCCTCCCAGACCTCTGCCTCCCCAGCCTTGAGGCCCTGGGACTGGGGGCCGCTGGGGGCTGTGGTGGGGACCGGGGGGCTGCCAAGGTGCAGGGTTAGGTGGCGGTTCAGGAGGCAGAGGCGGTCGGCCTGGAGGGAGTGCTTCAGGGACTCGCAGGTCTTGACAGAGGGCCGAGAGGCCTGCAGGAAGCTGTGGGCAAGAAGCCTGGTGACTGTGGGGCATGGTCAGGCCCACTTCACAGGGAGGACTGTGGGCCCTAGGGGTGAGGCGGGTGCCCACATGACACGGTGGGCAGTGGGGAGGGGAGTGCCCGGGCCCCTGGGGATCGGGTGCCTGGTTTCAGAGTTGACCTGGGGCCTGGGGGTCAGAGGAGGGACCCGGCCACTAAGACCTCTCCCCGTTCTGGGCGTCAGCTGCCTGCCCAGTCCCCTGGAGCACCCTGCCCACCTGGGCACCCACCACAACCCCACCCCCACTCTCCTCAGACCGTGATGAGAGGGGTGCCCAGTCCCCATCTCCTCTGTCCATGAATCCCCACCCCACCCTGGCCGTTCAGATGTCCATGTGGGAACCATGCTGCAGGCAGGGGTAAGCCAAGCCAGGGAGAGCAGGTCTCCTGAAGGGACAAAGGGAGGGACTCCCTGCTGCTGGCCCCTGCCTTAAAGTTGGGACCAGAGGAGGAGACTGGCTGCCCAGCTGAGGCAGCTCCTGGTGGTGGCAGAGGGCAGGTGCTCACCTGTCCAGAGGGAGGCTGTACTCGCCAGGTGGGCTGGGTGGGCTATTCCTGGTGGGCGGCAGTGGGGGCGTCCCATTGGTGGAGCCCTGGTCGGCGGAGCAGGCCTGGGACCCCGGCCGCACCACGGCGATGGTCCCGTGCAGCTGGTTGGAGATGCGCTGGGGGTTCTGCATGGGGTGGGCAGGTCAGCCTGGGTGGGCTCGGCTGCTACCCTCTGCCCTCTTCTCTGTGCCACTTTGGGCAGGCCACCCACCCACTCTGAGCCTCGCTTCCACCCTCGTCACGTGGAGCTCAGGACTCCCTGCTTGGCACGAGGACGGGCACGTGCCATGTGCACGGCACACAGCAAGGCTGGCAGTTCCGGTCTCCTTCTTGGGCTGCCCGGGAAGAGGGAGGAGTGGGCTCAGGGGTCCGGGGTCCCTCACCCTCACCATGTCCGGGGTCCATGCCTCAGGCAGATTTGGACTTGGGGAGATTTTGGCCATTGGAGATGTCCTGTACACCCCTGGCCTTTCTGTGGGAAGAGGGACAGAGGGCAGGATGGTTGGGAGGGGCTGAGAGGGGTCAGCTCAGCCCCCGGCCCGAGGGCTCCCTGGTCCCAGGCTGCTCAGCCTCCCCTGCCCCCACACCCCCCTCTCCTGTGGACCTGCACCTGCATGGTCATCCTCTGTCTCCTCGTGGCCTCCCAGTGGTTTCTCAGTGACAGCCTTCCGGGCACCCAGGGAGGGGAGCAGCAGGGGTGACGGGGGCTCCGAGGTGCCCTCCCTGAGCTGGGGCTTGGGCCTGTCCCCAGTGGGAGGCAAAGATGAGGCAGGTGAGGGGGCAGCATACCAGAGATGATCAGAAAGGCCAGGGCGCCCTCCTGGGGGCCAAGCCGCCTGTGCGGGAGACCCAGGTGACCAGGAAAGACATCATCGTGGGCTCACACCCATGTCTGGGGGTGGCCCAAGCGCCAGAGCTGCCATGGGTGCTGTGGCCCAGCTCCGTTTCTGGGGTGTCCTGTGCCTGCAGACCAGGGGAGGTCGCTATCTGTCCCAGGGTACTGGCCTGTGGGACCCCTCCCCCTGCATGAGTGCCTGGGGCTCCCCCCACTCACCCTGGGCCCTGAAGCCGCTTCACTTCCTCCTTCAAGGCGTCATTTTCCTCCTGCAGCCGAGTCAGCTCAGTGGCTGCAGAAGGCACTGATTAGGAAGGACTTGGGGCAGGGAAGGGTGGGTGGGGAACCCACGGCCCTGGGAGTCCCCCTGTCCTGGCCCAACTGGGACTCCAGCACTTGGCTCAGGGCCTGGCATACAGCAGGTGCCCCATAGATACTTGCTGCATGAGTGGGTGGGTGGATGTTGAGTGAGCAGAACCAGCCTGGAGGCCATGAAAAGGGATGGCGCTCCCCAGTCCCCAGGGACGCCCCCCCAGCCAAAGGAAAGGGGCTTGTGCTCATCAGCAGGCCACATGGAACCCAGCTCTCTGTGGGACCCTCCTCATCCTTAGAAGGAGGGAGCTGAGGCCCCGAGAGGGCAGGGATGCCCCGGCCTGGTGACTGAGCAGCAGGGGGCCTGTGGGGGTCAGCGGGGGCTTTGCACCATCTGTCTGTGAGTTGCGGTGCGGATGTCCCTCCTGACAGTGCAGCCCTGGATCACCTCCTCCCCTTTCCCCGAGACCCCTCGTTGGGCTGAGCAGGTGGGGGGTCGCCGCCCCCTACGGGAGGATGGGGTGCAGGACGCGGGGCAGGGGGGTGCTCACTGAGGAGGAAGACGTGCTGCAGGTTCTGGAGGAGGGAGCTCTCGTACTCTTGCTGCTTCTTCCTGGCCAGCTCCTGGGTGACCATGCAGCGGTCACACAGCCCAGCCCGCAGCCTGCGGGGCGAGGAGGATGGCGAGAGGCCGCTCTGAGAGGGAGAGGCTGGGATACCCCACCCCCTGCCCCACTCCCAGGACCTGCCCTGCCTTTCCCCACTGCGTTGCCCACCCCGTGGGCTCAGCACACCACATGCTATTGAGTTTGGGAAGGAACCTTGAAGTTTACTTAAGGCTCTGCGAAGTCCTGCAGTGGCTGAGTTGACTCCAGAGCATCCCAGACTCATTCTCCACAAACGCTCTGGTCTTCCCTCCGCTCCTGCCCCCACCGTGAGTGGGGTGTGAGGTGCCCCCACCTGTTCTCCAGCACCCGCAGGTTCTCCTTCAGCACCTTCTGCTGCTCCCTCAGCTGGTGGTTCTTGGCACAGAGCTCCTCCACCCTCTGGGCATCCCTGTGGGGGATGATCTGAAGTTGGGGGTCTGCTCTACCCAGAGAGCCCTCCGCTACCCACTAGCCTCTCCCTGGCCACCAGCCTAGGACTTCCTTGAGACTTAGGGCCTTGCAAGGGCTATGCCAGCTTGCCCAAGGGTGATTGTGTACGGCCGCCTTGAGGACTCTCTTGTCCCCATGCCACCTGGCAGAGTTCTGTGAAGTGGGGACCTGGGGAGTCTGCCTGTGGGTCTCCAGGACTCACGAGGAGTCCCCCCTGTTGACAGTTATCGGTCCCAGATGTGCCCTGCATGGATACTCCTTGCCCAACCCTTTGGAGGGTCCCTGTTCACTCTGTTGGGCTCAGACTTTCCAGCCTCACTCCTCCAGCTCCTCGAAGCATGACCTTGGGCCAGACTCCCCCTACCCGCTATGCTGAACTTCAGTTTCCCCTGTATCACCGCTGGTGGCAGTGTCAGGGCTCTGGGGCTGCAGGGAAAGAGGGGGAGATGAGCTCTGGGTGTCACTGCCCTTCCAGTCTCCTGGGCCAGGCCTGTTCTCACTCACCGGCACCTCTCTGAGTTCAGTTCCAGAAGCTTGTTCTGCAGGCCTGAGGAGTGAGGAAAGGGGCAGAGGTCAGGCCCGGCCGGGCTGCCATCTCTACATGGAGCTGGGGCGTTTCCTGCCTCTGGTTGTATGGCAGAGCCCTCTCCAGACGCCCACCACTTGCCTGGTTTCCTGCACGGGCTCCCTGAGGTCACCCCCTTGAAGGGCTCCCAGTCTGCATCTGCTGCCAGCTTCTGCTCAGTCTCCTGGCTGCCTGGGACCCTGATCTGGGCCCAGTCTCTCCCCTCCCTTGTCTCTGGCTTTGGTGTCAGTTGAGGATGGGTCCCGGATGCTGGGAGTCACCAGTAACCCAGCCAAGGCCCGGGAGGGATGCTTTTTGGGTGCTGCCAATGGGCCCCCAAGGGAGACCCCAGCAGAGCCCCTCCTCCCCTCCCTATCATGGTCTGGCTTGGGCTCTAGGCTAGCCCAAGCAGTCCCTGCCCCTCTGGGTCTCTGGACCTTTGATGTGGGGGGCAGGTGAGGACTCTCAGAAAAGTCGGGAGGGTCTGGCCCAGGCCCTGGGGGAGTGAATGGAGCAGGTGGCTGCAGTCCTGTTGCTGGTGGGGAAATTGGATAGACATGCATGCCAGGGCAGAGCTTACCCTGGGGTTCTGGAAGCGGCAGAGGGATTTTAGCTCAGCACCCAGAAGGCTCCAGACAAGCCTCCAGAGCCTTGGGCTCCATTCCTACGAGGAAAGAAGGTGACCTCCCTTCTGGGGGACGTGGAGGCCCCACCTTGGGCCAGGGGCCGGTCTTGGCTATAGTGTCTTGGCTCTCTGCGGCCAGGCTGGTCTTTTATTTCTGTTCTGATATGAGCTGACCATTTGGGGACCACCCCTTCAGGGTGCACTTGGGTGTTGATCTAAGGCTGGGTGCCTGGCCACTATGCAGCTCTGGGCTCTGGGTCAGGACTCCCTTTCTGGGCCTGGAAGGCGTGGTCCTGGTTTTGGTGAGAATTTGAGGCAGCATGTGGAAGTCCCCTGGCCTGACCTTGGCCCTTAGACTGCTGTCTGGCTGCAAGTTTGTCCTCCCCAAGGTACTCACCCATGACCTCATTCTCGTGGACTTCCTTCAGTCTGTTTAGTGACTCTGTGAAGCTCTCCATGGCTCCCGTGGCCCTGGCCCTGGGTCCTCTGTGCTCCAGGTGTGGGGACGGCCCCTTGGCCTCTACGGCCCGTCTGTTTCCAGCCTATGGAGTAGGAAGCAGGGGGACAGTCACATTAGCTCAGGAGGGATCTGTGGGCTGCAGGGTGCAGGAGGCAGGTGTGGGAGTCCTGTCTTGTGACCACCCACTGGGTCATGTCCACACCTGAGGGGGGCATGTATGTCCCTCTTGTAGGGACTTCTCACTTCATCTCAACTCCCTAATCGTCTTCACTTCATCTCATCTCCCTAATCCAGTTTTCAGAGCAAAGCAGATGGCTTGAGGGGACCAGCTCCCACTTGATGCTGGCGCCACTAGGGTGCATGTGACATGTGATGAGGCCCCAGACTGGAGATGCCCATGCCGGCAGACAGCTGGCGGGTCAGTAAGCCAGGGTGTGTTCAGCCTGGAAAGCTCTCTCAGTAGGGTCCAGTTTCCTACAGTGGCATGGATGGCTCCATGGGGCCACAGTGGAGACTTCGGGGGTTGGCTGACTATTTTCTCTGCCAGAACTGGTGACCGTACCCTAGCAGAAGTCCACCTAGCTGCCCCTCATGGCCTGGGCCCTTTTTCCTGCCTGTATTTCACCTCCATGAAGCATTTGTTAAAATTTAAAAGGTTGTGGGATTGAGAACCCAAGCTGGGAGCTAGATAACCTTGCCCATCATGTGACTGCTGTGAGCTCTGGCACCTCTGAGCAGCCCTTTCTTCCCTCTGGTAGTGGCCATGAGGCTTGTCTAGTGGGCCTGGTGAGCATGCCTTGGGGTCCTGCAGGGTCCAGCTTGGAGCTGGGGATGAGGCTGGGTCTCAGCCCAGTGGCAGCTTCCTCACCGTGGTGCCAGGCACCACCCTCCTCCAGGTGGGAGCCCCTCGGTCCTGGTGGCACATCTCTGGTGGTGGGTACCAGCGGCCACCATTACCCTGTGGCACCATCTGTCACCCAGTGAGGGTCAGACCCACAGCTCATAGCCAGGTCAGCAGAGATGCCACCAGCCCAGACCCGTGCCATCATCACCTCCAGGCCGGGGGGAGGCAGCCCCTCTGGTCCCTCCTTGTTCTCAGCCTGAGGAGCCCAGTGGTCCGCAGGACCTCGAAAACGAGCGGCTGACTCCTGGTACACTGAGTCCTCTCCTCCAGGGGTCCTACACTGGGTGTTGGCAGCAGCTCGTGGTTTGCCCTCTGCACATGCCCAGAACATCACTCCCTCCTTCACAGAGCCTGCCTGGGCCCAGGCCACCAACCGCTGCTGCAGTGCTCCACCACCCCCAGGAGGGCCTTTGCACAAACCCTGGAAACCTCTCCCCAAAGACCCCTTCAGCCTTGCCCGAAGGAGGGTTGTGGTCTTGCATTTCAGAGACTGGAGTGTTTGCAGCAGTAGTCTCCAAACTGGAAATCCTCCAATGTCTGCTGGTGAGTGTCCAGCAGTGGCAAGAGAGATGACGATCCAGGGCCATTACGGTTTGGTTCTGAGACACTGCAGAGTAGGGGCCAGACCGGGGAAGCCAGCACAATGCGGGATTCACGCACAGGGAGTATAGAAGAGGCACAGCTGCTCTAGGCTCTCTGAAGCTGGGTGGTGGCCACCCTGGCACTGGGATCACTAACTGAGGGGAGCAGGCCCTGTGACCCCAAGAGAAGCCAGGGGCCGGGGCAAGCACTATCCTGGAGCTTTCCAAGGGGACTTGACAGGGAGGCTGGCTCTCAGCCTGGTCCTCGAACCCCAGGCCCAGCAAGAGGACAAAGAATGGTCCTGTGTCTCACAGTGGCCACCAGAACCCACAGGCAGAGATGTGCTGGAGGGATGTAGCGACAGGAAGGTGGGGCTCCCCAAACTTGTTTTAGACCTGCCTGGCCTCTGGGACACTCCCAAGAGATGGCCAGGGAAGGGTGGAGGGGTCCCTGCTTACTGGCTATGTGTTAGGTGGGTGAGGGCTCTGTGAATGAGGAGCTTGGCGGGGTTCCCCTCCTTGAGGCTGGGAGCCACTGGGATATCCTGGCAGGTTAGGGAATAAGATGCTGAATTGCAGAGGCTGGGGGAGCCAGGGCTATAGTAGGGTATACATGATAATCCGGCCCCACTTCCTGAGCCCATCTAACCCTGACCACGCTGCAAGGAGCCCACTTTCCAGATGGGGAAACTGAGGCCCAAACTGGGGAAACTGAGCATCGAATCATGCTCCTTGGCTGCCCAGTGGGAAGCAGGATTCGGGGCTTGACTTCTTCCTGGGGCTGAGGATGTGTCCTTGCCCCCTGTGGACCAGGGATGTGCTCCAGGTGGCCCTGCTCTGCTGGCTCTCCCATCTTCATCTTGTGGGAGATGGGACTGTGGGAGGAGCTCTCCTTGGCTCGGGCTCCCTGTAGGGTGAGGTGGGCCAGCTGGGGAGGGCCAAGCCACTGTGCCTGAAATTCCACCCAGACCCGCCTGACAGGCCGTTCTTCCCCATCAGCGTCTGCCATGGGCCGTCGTGGGCTGGGCCAACGCCTGTGAAGGAGCCGTCCCTGGGAGCCTGTGGTGCCCCAGGCCCAGGAGAGGCTCTGCAGATGGGCGCAGGTCTAAGTGAGAGGCCAACATTGTTCCTAATGACAGTGCTGTGGTGTGGAGCAGGGCAGGTAAAGGCCCAGACACCCTCCTCTGTCCCGGTACCCTAGGCTCCTCTATTCCAAACCGCCCAAAGGCCCCACCTGGCTGCCCCTCTGGGGTCTCTGATGGGCAGAGGGCAGCGTGGACACAGACATGGGTCCAGGCAGGGGCAGCACAGCTGGAGGGTGTGTTCTGCTGGGAGCCCCACATCTCCCAGGGATGACCAGGGCTGTCCAGCCCCTGGTGACAGTGCCATGGGGGTGGTGTGGCTCCCCTGGGCCAGCAGGTGACAGAGGGCGTTTGGCCAAGGAGAAGAGGACAGTCAGTCTCCTGGGGCAGTCCCAGCCCCCACTCTCAGAGTGCAGGGGGGCGGGGTGGGTCCAAGGAAGCAGCAGGAGGATGAGGAGGTGGGTCCGCAGCTGACAGGGGTTTGGTGGCTGTGGGTAGGAAGAACCTCGGCTGTAAAAGTGCATGTGGCGGCTTCCCTGGTAGCTCAATGAGTAAGAATCTGCCTGCCAGTGCAGGAGACACGAGTTTGAGCCCTGGTCCGGGAAGATCCCACATGCTGTGGAGCAAATAAGCCCATGTGCCACAACTACTGAGTCTGTAGCTCTAGAGTCTGAGAGCTACAACTACTCAAGCCCGCTTGCCTACAGCCTGTGCTCCTCAACAAGAGAAGCCACCGCAATGAAAAGCTTGCACATCACAACTAGAGAGTAGCCCCATTTGCCAAAACTAGAGAAAAACCTGTGCAGCAACAAAGACCCAGTGCAGACAAAAACAAGTAAATGAACATAAATAAGGTTATTTTTAAAAGGTGCATGTGGTCTCTGCCAGAGGGCAGTGGGCCAGCCCTCCCTGGGGGCCTCCGTGGTGTTTGCCGGGTGTGCTGAGAGCCACTGAGGGGAGAGGGGCTCAGGGGCTCAGGGAACTCAAGGCAGGAGGGCTCCCCCCAGGCCTGGGGTGGGGGCTACAGTGCTGGCAGGAGGAGTGAGCAGGTTATGGGGTGGGGTCTTGGCTGCTGCCTCTGGGCCTGGGGGCCCTGGGCAATAGAGAGGGTGGCCCAAGTTGCACACTGCGGCAGGGGGTGGTGGGCGCTGGGAGCAGAGGCCTGAAGGCTGCTTCTCAAGGGCCCAGGGTCACTCCTACTCCTGCTCTGGACACCCAGGCTGGAAGGTCTCTGCTGGGTGGAGACCCAGAAGTTGCAGGTGGCAGGGCAGGGCAGGGGTCAGGCACACCGCTGACCCCATGCACCTGCCACTTACCTGGGCAAGGTCAGCCTGCGCAGTGCACCCTGGCCTGCCTGGAGCCAATGTGGACAGGACTAGTGCGTTCCCAGAGCCTGAGTCCCTCATCTGGGGTAACCGCGCCGCCACCTCAGGTTGTTGTGGGTGTGTCCCACCAAATACATGTGTCCAGACGATGCCATCCGGGTGAAGTGTGTACTCAGCCCAGGGCCTGGCAGGCCCTCAGCTAACTGCAGATGGAGACCCTGCATCCACCGCATGCAGCTGCCCTCCAGTCCCTCCCCTGCAGGTGGCCCTAGGGGTCCAGCAGGGCTCCTTACAGGACCCCAAGTTCAAGTGCCATCAAGGCCCTCTACAGGAGGACAAGAACACTCCTGAGTTCAGAGCAGAGTCTCAGATGCCAGCACTGATGACACACATTCGTGCCCTGCATGGACATTTAGGGTCCACTGGGTCTTGGTGGCTGTGGCTCAGGGAAATGCCCCTGCCACCATGTAAGAGAAGGCCACTAGAGCCCCCGCTGTGGCCCTGGGCCGGGTGCTGCCCGCTGAGCCGCAAAGCCTCGGTGGTGAGGTTCTTGCCCGGCTCCTGGGCCGGCCGGCAGGGCCCTGACCACTTTCTCTTATTGGAGCCTCTTCTCCAGCAGGCCCTGGGGTCCAGGAGCCCCAGGCCCCCAGTTCTGCGCCTGCTCTGCCATTGATCCATCCACCCACCTGTGAGTAACACAATGACAATGGTGCAGCAGTAACCACAGCGGTGGCCCTTGTTCCCCGAGCAGCCGCTCAGCCAAGTACCGGGCCAGGGCTCTATGCGCTGTGTGGCATCTACAGCAGGCCCCCTACCACGTCCCAGGGTGATCCAGGGATGCTCCTCCTGCCCGTCACCAAGGACCTCACGAGGCTGGGTACACCGTCCAAGCCCTTTCCATGTCCTCCACACAGGTCTTTATGGAGCACCCGCTGTGTGCCCCAGCTCAGCCCACAGGTGATTGGAGCTCGCCTTGCCTTCTGGCACTCACTATCCCATTCTACAGATTCAGGGACTGAGGTGCGAAGCAGGTCAGAGGCTCCGGTGGTGGCTCCCTGCATCCCACGTGGTGAGGGAGAAGCCCCTTCTTTGACCACCTTAGCTGAGTCTCTCTCCCACTGTGTTTCAGTGTCCTGGGCCATGAAACGACAGCGGTGCCCTGGCCCAGCTCCTGGAGACTGAGGAGTTTGCACCACCTTGGGTGGCCGGGTCTCCTCCATGTGGCAGGCATCCAGTGCCCATTGACTGCAGGTGGTCAGGGGCCAGCCTGCCAGCCTCCACATCCAGGCGTCTGACAGAACGTCTCATGTAGTCAGTCCTTGGGCTCACGTTGCCTGTGGAGTGGCCATGACAGCCCTTACTTTGCAGATGAAGGATCTATGTCTCTGAAAGATGGCACTACTCCACACTCACCAACTCGCAAGGGACATGGCCAGTGCAGCCTCCTGCAACCTCCTGGGCCAGCTCAGATGGCAGGTCCTGAGAGGTGCCACTGCCTGGATGGTTTCTAGCATCGCCAGACACCTAGACCCATGACACATGTGCATACATATGTGATGCCCACATGTGCAGACACAACAGTATCCTAACAATATCCCAACAACTAGTGCACAACAGAGAAACGTGTGCACATGCGTGCACTCCCCCCACCGTGCACGTGGCACTGTGCAGGACGGGGGAAAGCTGCTTGCACGTGTGTGCACATACTCGAGTATCGCATGTGCGTGTGCACACATGCACAGAGGCACAAGGCAGGTGTGCGCTCGCTCAGCAAGGCCGAGGTGTCGCTGGTGGCTCGGGTAACAGCGGGCCCTGCAACCTGATTCCTCAAGGATGGGCCGGCCCAGGGCCACTGCGACTTCTCAACCGCCTCCCTGAGGCCTGGCGGGGGAGGCTGAGCAGGACCGAGGCCTGGGAGCCTTTTGTCACTGCTTCTCAGGGGACACCGAACTGAGGGCAGCTGATGTCCTACAGTGCCCAACAGGGAGCCGTGGCTGGCTGCACCGCACGCACTCCACCCCTCATTCCCTAGCTGCAGCCTGTCTGAGGATCCGGGCGGTGAGGCCGGACCAGGATGAAGTGCCAGGCCCCCAGCCTGTTCCCAGTGTCCCCAGAAGACCCAGGGACTTCCCAACACAGCAGTGCCAACCTTAGCCTTCCCAGCCTTGGCTCCCCCAGCCTGTCTGCCCAGGAAGCTCGCTGCGGCCTGTGTTCCCACACAGTCCCCTGGACTGTGTGCCCCAGAGCAAGGGCTGCGGCCACCACCCCACCCTGGCCCCTCCTCCAGCCCCCACGAGCAGGGGCTGGGTCTCCACCTGGTAGCTAGCACCCCACAGTGACCCCAGACCTTGTGCCCCTTCCCCTGCCCCCAGCTACTGAAGCCGCTGGGGCCCTGGGGCCCCCGGGTACTCACATGGCCCCGCGTCCGCATCGACCTCCGGGGACCTCCGCTCTGCTCCGGGAAGCTCCCGCCTGAGAGATGGAAACCAGCATTGTGAACTTGCTTGGGAACAAGACAGAATTTTGGCCAAACCCGCTTGACAGGTTTTCGATTCCCCGGGCCAGGAGCAGGGAGGAGGCAGAGCCGGCCCAAAGCTGCCCAACGGGTTCTGCCATCGCAAAGAAAGTGGCAGAACGGGTCAGGTCTGACCCTCACAGAGAGAGGATTGTTTCTCCATGATCTCTGCATGGCCTGGGCCTCTGGCTGGAGCCGGGCAGTTAGCAAGGAGAATCCAGAGCCTGGAAGTGACCGTGAGGGGCAAGGCAGGGGCAGGTTGTGGGGGAGCCGGGGGAGGAAGGAACATTGTTACCTCGGGGTGGAGGACAGCAGCGAGCCTCACCCCTGGCTCTCGTGGGCTGAGCTGTCCTGCCTCAGTTTCCTTGTCTGTAAATTGGGGATGATGACCACAGGCCTGCCTCTATTGGAGCTCTGGAGATGGAATTGTTAGGTAGTTAGAATAGGGAAAAAGAGTCCAAGATGGCCGTGGCTAAAAGACTTGGAAAGGAAAGCCCTCGAAAATAGAACAAAGAAAGGTCCGAGGACCAGAGTGAGAACCTCAGGTAAAACAAACAACGCTCCTGCCTAAGCCCAATTTACATAAGACAGGCCCAGGGACAGAGAAACATAAAAAGAGGAGCCAAAGCCCTCTCCTCTCCTTTTTTTTTTGCTCCCTCCCTCTCCCCCGCATGATGGGGCGATCTTCTCTTCGCGTCTTTGGATCGACGTGCCCTCACGCCTCAAAGATGGATTTTCCTACTATTATCTAAATAAATAGAGCTGTAACACTGAGCTGTAACACTGATGTATTTAAGAGCTATAACACGGTCTGTTTGAGACCTGAGAGCTATAACACGGTCTGTCCTCCGAGAGCTGTGACCCGCCAGGGGGCTTTAATGTCCGTCACTCCAAATTTTTGTTGTGACGAGACAAAGAACCGAGCATACACTCTCGTGACATCTATGGTGCCGTGACTCGGATAAAACCTGGCTGAAACAACCTCCACGTGGAAGAGGCCACGCGCAGCAGGAGCCCAACTCAGCGAAGCTCCTGCGGTAGAAGCGGAAAGAGAAGAAAACTCAGCACAGGGGAAGGCCCGTCATGCTGGAAACCGGGGCAGCGAAAACCGAACTCGGCAGAAAGCCCATGCGGCTCAGCCTCAGATTTCAGCAGACCTCCGGTTGAGGTAGGAGGTCCTAGCTCCTATGGTTGGAAGGACATGCCTAACAATTACAATCTCTCATTTCTCGTTTCCTTGAACCCCCCCGCGATCAGGCAGGCGGCAGTGGGCGCCAGAGGGACTCTGGAGAGGCTATTCTTCAGTATGTCCCAAAGGCACTACTGCTCAGCCCCAGTAGTGGTTACGCAAGCCGGTAGGGGTTCTCCTGTCCTTACTCTTTGTGCCAAAAATCAGGCCAATAAAAACCGTGAGCACCGGTCAGATATCTAGCAAATTTTCCAGTAGGCTATGAAGGGGATTCCTTGGCACATCTTTCCCACTGCTTTTTCCTCTTTTCCTTCAGCTCTTTCTCCCGGGACTCGAGCCCGACCAAAACCCAGGATGCCCGGCTCAGGCTCTGAGGTCTTATTGCAAAAATTCAGTGAGAGACAAAGCGATAAGTGGGAGGTGTATTTGCTAAGATTCCGAGAGAAACGCCCATTCTACAGGATACCGGCCATGGAATGTGGCCTAAGTTTTGCGAGCGGGGCGAATTCATATGCTAATGAGTGGGAGGATCATCCCAGCCATTGGCTTACAGATTGGGGATTAAAGTTTGCTCGATTGACTTTAATCGGTTTACTTTATGCTCTGGTGCTATGTCATTCTTCCAAAGGTTGTGCTCTGCCCCCCTTCCTTCCTGTTTCATGCTCCTTACCTCAGCCCCGTCCGGGCCCACAATGTTGCCTCTACAGTCTACTAGAGGGATAACCAGAAAATAGCTGGCCTTGGGAGGGAAGAACTGTATAATATCCAACCCCTTAGTCCTACCTGGCATTGGTCACACTGGAGATCGTGGGGACGCCCAAACTCCAGTCCGGGGGTCCCAGGAGGTCATCACACCTTGACCTGCCTAGGGATCTGGTCCTCGAAAGGCTGTCACGGCTCAGCCTTTTGGGGATCCGCTAGTCCCAAGGGTCCCAGGAGGTCGTCACGCCTCAACCTGCCCAGGGGCTCAATTCTCGGGAGGCCGTCACGCCTCGACCTGCCCCGAGATTCGATCTCTAGGAGGCTGTCACGCCTCAGTCTGCCTGCAGATCTGCATCCTGACTCGCGGACACCTGGCTCTCAGGTTGCCACAGTACTAGGTAGGATGAGCTTACATCATGGTATCTTCCCATCCATAGTGGACAAACTAGCAATGAGTTACAACCCCTTAATTCTACCCAGCACTGGTCACGCTGGAGACCTTGGGGATGCCCAAACTCCAGCCCGGGGGTCCCAGGAGGCCGTCACGCCTTGACCTGCCTAGGGATCTGGTCCTCGAAAGGCTGTCACGCCTCAGCCTGCCTGGAGATCTGCATCCTGACCCGGGGACACCTGGCTCTCAGGTTGTGGCAGTACTGGGTAGGATAAGCTTCAAAAAGCCTATTAGTTTTTTTCTTTTCCTTTTCCTCCCTAACATGACTGTTTTTCAGATGGGAAATAACCAATCCACTTCCTGGCAGACGCCCTTGAGATGCATCCTTGACAACTGGAAGCTGTTCGATCCTCTAACTCTGAGGAAGAGTCGTTTAAAATTATTTTGTGCCACTGTGTGGCCACGATATCCACTGGGGGACAAGGAATACTGGCCCGAGGATGGGACTTTAAATTACAATACCATCCTGCAATTAGAATTGTTTTGCAAAAGACAAGGGAAATGGACAGAGATCCCCTATGTCCAAATTTTCCTCAGACTGAGAGATATGAAGGAACTCTGTCTTAAGTATGGGATTGTTGTATGCCCTAAAAGGGAGCCCACTAGGCTAATGGTGTCAGGCACAGGCAACCAAGAGAAGGAACCCCCCCGTGAAGGCTCACCTCCCACAGCTCCCGAGTTGCCTGGTGCTGCTTCCTTGTATCCAAGTGTGCCCCCATATCCGGGAGCACCCCTTCCACAAAAGCCAGCTCGAGTATGTCCCTTAGTTGAAACTGGAGGAGAATTCGGACCAACCCGAGTCCATAAACCCTTCTCCCTCTTCGAACTAAGACAAATCAAACAAGACCTGGGAAGCTATATAGATGACCCAGGCAAATACATAGATATGTTCCAACATATTACCTTGGCCTTTGACTTGACATGCAAGGACATCATGGTCATATTTAGTCAAACTTTATCTGACCCTGAACATGCTAGGGTCTTAAAGGAAGCCCGGAGGTATGCAACAGGGCTTCACATGTCAAGCGATAGATACCCAGTAGGGGAAACTGCAGTCCCCTCCTCCAATCCTGACTGGAATTATAATGACCCTGAGCACATCTGGGAAAGAGATCATTTTCTAATCTGTATAAAGGCAGGACTGAAAGCAGCCCAGCAAAAAGTAATCAGCTATGCCCGGGTCTCAGCAATAACTCGGGAGTCCAATGAGAACCCCATCTGGAAAGGCTAAAAGAGGCCCTCCAAAAGTTTGCCAATTTGGACTTAGACTCTTACGAAGGACAGGTGATTTTAAAGGACAAATTCCTGTCCCAGTGTGCATCAGGTATCAGAACTAAGTTACAACAACTATAGCAGCAGGACTCTGCTGCCTCTCTAGATGAGATGATCCAGACAGCCACCAATACCTTTTATAACAGAACAGGAGAAAGAGGCCAAGGCCCAGGAGAGGGAGAGAAGGAAAGAGACAAGGCATGCCCAGATGCTGGCCGCCCTCCAGGGAAGCCCTATGGCACACCCCGAGCCCTTGAATGACAAGGCACAAGGCAAATGCCTAATCTGTAGACAGGTGGGGCATTGGGCCAAAGAGTGTCCTAACAGTGACAAGTCTCCTAGAACAGCTTGCCACAAATGCCATCAACTGGGACATTTTGCGACATGCTGCCTTCGGGACCCAAGAGCCTCAAGGTCAAGCGCCAAGCCTTCCCTCACGATGGTTCAAGAGGACTGAAGTGGCCCGTTCCAGCCAACCCGCCTAAGATAACCATCACGGGGCTGGAGCCAAGGGTGCAACTGGATGTGGCAGGTAGGTCCGAGAATTTCTTGGTTGACACAGGGGCTACCTACTCTGTCTTGATCTCCTACTCCGGAGACTTCTCCTCCCAAACCTGTACCATTTTGGGTGCTACAGGAAAAGCAACTACTAAAAGATTCACCCAAGCACTTTGTTGCCGGGATGGACAAATATTTTCCCACCAGTTCCTGGTGGTCCCTGAGTGTCCTACTCCCTTAATGGGAAGAGACATACTCATTAAACTGGGGACCACTCTTGTGATGGGAAGCTTTTCAGCCCTTAGGGCCCTACAGCTTCTGGTTACTACTGAGGAACCCATTACACCTCCAATAGAGAGAGAGCAAAGACTATGGGAAGACAAAATTAACCCCCAGGTGTGGGACCAGGGGACTCCTGGACGAGCCCACCAAGCTGAACCGGTCATCACTGTCCTCCGAGATCCCACTCGGTTTCCTAACCGGAAACAATATCCTCTCAAAAGAGAGGCTTGGGAGGGACTACAGCCTTTAATAAATAAATTCCTTGCTTGTGGGCTATTGGTCCCTACCAGTTCGCCATGGAACACCCCAATCCTCTCAATAAAGAAAAAGGATGGAGCCTGGCGAATGGTTCAAGATCTCCGGATCATAAATGAAGCTGTAGTCCCCCTCCATCCCACAGTACCCAATCCCTATGTAATCTTGGGAAAAATCCCACCCAGTGCCAAGTGGTTTACAGTCTTGGATCTCAAAGATGCATTTTTTTGCATACCACTGGCTAAAGAATCCCAATATCTTTTTGCCTTTGAGTGGGAGGCCCCAGGAGAAAAACACCAACAGATGACTTAGACAGTATTACTTCAGGGGTT